GCTGTTTAAAAATGAAAACAACTTTTGGAAAGAGGACAACGGTAATTCGAGCTTAAAGGTAATCTCAGAAATGATCAAAGTAGCAGTAGAAGGTTCCATTTTTTCACCAAACTTAGTTAAGGTGATGAACTTTTGCTCTCTTTGGGAGGTTTCTTCAGGTAGACTTTCTTTGTTGCTGTTAGCTGCTGTCAATTTGGCTCCTGACTCATCGGGACCCCATGCACAAGGGAATGAACCCTGCCTGCTCCTGCACTGTCCCCATGATCAGTTGTGGATCAGACTGCTGTGATCCATATAGTTTTTGTCAACTGATTTTTGGAAGTAGAGCACTAGACCTTTCTTCTTAGTCTTAGTCTAGAAGATCCACTGAAACTTCAGCAACACAGCAACATGCAAACCTCCACTGAGATGTACATTGGCTGAGAATCAAACCCAGGTCTCCTGCAATGGAAGGCCAGAATTCTACCACTGAACCACTACTGCCCTCTAGACTTTCTTTAGCCCAACTAAAGAACCAGTCAGCATGACCTGGAAACCTTAGACCTGGAGAGACTCTAGAGACCAAGTCTAAGTTCCCATTTTAAAGATGATGAGACAGAGACAGAGAGGGATTCACTTGCCCTAAATGACATAAGAAATTTAAGAGCAAGTAACTTGGCCACAGGAGAATCCTTTCCTTTTCCTTATCTAGTCTCCCCCAGCACACACCCACATACCTGCTTTAGTACATGCACCACATTTTCTGCATGTTTGCAAAAATATGATGCACCAATCGGGTTTTATCCTAGTGGTTCAGTGGTTGCAGTTGGTATTCTCACTCTCATGGCTTAGGTGTATAATTGTACTTTTAATAGTGTGTTTATTTTATTAATAACTTATCTCTATTACAATACAAACCTCAAGGTGACAACTCATTGCTGTCGAGTTGATTCCAATTCATAGCTACCTCATGGGACAGAGTAGAACTGCCCCCATAAGGTTTCCAAGGCTGTAAATCTTTACAGAAATAGACGGCCACATCTTTCTCCTATGGAGCGGCTGATGGGTTTGAACCATTGATCTTCCGGTTAGTAGACAAAGCACTTAACCCCTGCGCCACCAGGGCTTCTGACCAAGATGATAGGGGCCATATAAAACTCATTCACTTTTGTATTTCTGCACCTCTCAGAAGTCCTAGAATGATCGAATGAATGATTCAATGGCGTAATGGAGAGGCTAAGATTCAAACAATGATTAGGAATCAGCCAGGAAAAGAGACAAGGAAGAAGATTCTGGGTAATGGAAACTGTATATGCAAAGGCCCAGGGGTGAGAGAGGGGGTGGCATTTAGGAAGAACTGAGCATTTTTGTGTATGACCAAAGCTAGAGTTCTGGAATATGGTACAAAACAAAGCCAGAGAGGCAGGCGATGTCTACATTGTGGATGCCCTTTCAAGCCAGGATAGACTTTTCTGTCTTTTAGTTGAGTCTCTGATGCTGAATCCTGAAGCTCAGCCCACTGGCAGGATCATCTAGTCTAAATTCCCATTTAGTGGGTATATTAGTTTCTTAGGCTGCCATAACAAATTAACATAAACAAACACAAACAAATTAACACATACTAACCCAGTTTGTATAAGTATAAAAAACACTTATACTTACCCGAAAGCTGATTTAAGGATTTAATGGAGCCCGTTAGCACAGTGCCTGGCACATGGTGAGACAAAATGAACCCCAGCTGCTATGATTGTTGTTAATAATCCAGAAGAGAAGTGTAGACTTGGTGCAGAATTCTTACATTCTAAAGAGAGAAAGGAAAATCAATTTTAAAAAAGTACATGCAAATCTCCATTTACTGCTGTTGCTGGAAGAAGGGATTGTCTTGTTCATTTTATGTTCCAGGTCTGGAGGTAAACTGCAAAATCTTTTTTACTGAAATTCAGTCTTCCACAAATGTTAATTGAGTCCATGCTATTTGCTAGGCACGTGGGAGAAAGGAGGATGAATTAGATGCTGATCCTGCACTCACCTTCGGAGCTGCTGAAGGGAGAGGACAGATTTTCTATAAATGTGAGGGAAAGCACTTTTCTGCTTAAATACAGAATGTTGAGCATTATTTATTTTAAATAAGTAATTGAGGATCCTGCAAGGGCCCCTCATTGCCTAAGTGAGTTGATGAAGAGTTAAAAGGCAGAGGGATGTTATCTGGGTGATGGAAATGTGCTACATCTTGTTTTGGACTGTGGTTACACACAGTGCATACAATTGTCAAAGCTCATCAAACTGAGCCCATAAGATCTGTGCACATTGTTGTATATAAATTACACCTCAATAAAAACAATCACATTACACAAAAGAAAACAAAAGGCAAGGGGACTGCAAATGGATGTGTACTGAGCACAAGATGCATCTTGGAATTTGTGTTTTCCACCCCTAGTCCATTACTTATATAATCTCATTTTACTGCCACATATATCTTCTTTAAAATGAAAATGGTGAAGTTCTGCTTGTTCAGTAACTGTATATGTTAATTACAATACTAAAGGACATAGAAAGGTGCAAGATGATGGGGACTGTTCCAATACACCAAACTGCTCTAGTTTCTCCTGCATCCATTCAACAAGTTTTATCAAACACTTGTATGGGTCAGGGGAGCCCTGGTGGCGCAGTGGTTAAAGCACTTGGCTGCTAATCAAAAGGTTGATGGTTTGAACCCACTAGCCATTCTGCAGGAGAAAGAATTGGCAGTCTGCTTCCGTAAAGATTACAGCCTTGGAAACCCTTTGGGACAGTTCTACTCTGTCCTGTAGGGTCGTTATGAGTTGGAATCGACTTGATGGCAATGGGTTTGGTTTGATTTTTGTATGGGTCAAGCTCTGTTACGTTACGTTTTGGATCAGTTGAGTTTGACTTCTTGGGACATCCAAGTGGAGATAGGTGTCAAAATGGTAGATACCCAAGTCGGGGGCTTGAGACTAAAGATAGAGCTTAGGATGTGTCAGTCATTTCTTTCACACCAGCATCTATAGCACAGTGTGATGGATACATAATTGGAAGTTGAAAAATAGTTGAGTGGATAAAAGTCATGTTTGCCTAAGGACAGAGAGAAGGAGGGACTACAAGTGTGTTGGAATGCGTTGTGATCTTCCATCCCAGCACTAACAAGGCTAGCTCAGGCCCTGTCAATCTGGAGTTGTATCATGGCATACCTGAGCTGTGGGAACTTTAGAGAAACGCTGCATTGGTTGCTGATATTTATACTTGCTAGAAAGGCTAGTCCCCGCTTTGCTCCCTAAAGCCTGGGAATAAAAAAAATTAAACAAATATCAAAGCTATTCTTAGCACAGAAAACTATAGTCTGTCCGTAGTCTTAGGTTCATGCCCAAATTCTGAAATGTTGACCTCCAAGCCAGTGTGTCAGTAACATGTCTACTTTAGGTAGCAACTTAAAAGTCTGCTTAGCTTAAAATGTCAAAATAAGTAGACAGCATAGCATAACAAAAAATGGCAATTCTGGAAGTCAGGAGACCTCACTGTGAGTCCCAGAGCTGCCTCTGAAAAACTGAGTGACCTTAACCTTTCTGAGTCTCCTTCCCCTCATCTATAAAACAATGATGGTGAGGGGCGTAATTGGATGATCTTCCAGCTCTGACATTTTGTGATTCTCTCGATGAGGCCTTTAATTGCGGCTGGTGGGAAGATAACATTTCTGTAAATTGACCTGCCAACCTGATTTAGTCCAGAAACATGAAGACATGTAAATAAGGCAATAGGCAGAAATTACTACCACGGATGACTTTGGTAGAATAATTCCCCCGCCTTGAGATGGCAGGTAGAAACACCAGAGAGAGATAGTGGTTGGTTTTAGATTGCATGTTAATTAGCAGCAGATTGGGTTTTACTGGACGGTTTCTAACCGCACATGATCACAGTGTTTTGTCCAATGACTCAAATTTCTACCACATTGAAAAGGGATGTGGAAAATCACCCATTCCTAACTGCATTTGTTATTTGTCCTGAACCATTAAATATTTGAAATTCATGTATTGACCTTTATGTGCCTAGACATCTCAGCCCTGGATATGATAAGCCTCTAAGGGGGAAAGATAATTAAGATTTATTGAGTACCTGTTAAATGTTATGGTTGTGTCAGGTGTCTGACCTGCTGTCAGGTGCACCAGATCTTCTTGGGACTCGCCTCACCCCACTGAAGGCTGCTTACTGAGGGCTTCTGCCTGGCCATGGGAACATCGAAGGCTGCTTGGTTCATAAGTACAAGCCAGAAGTACACAAGAGTTACTTCTGTAGAAGTAACCCTCAACAAAAATCAGATGGACATTTGGTGGATAAATATCCCAGCTTCCTTGCTTCTTGGGTGGGATAAGTCTGAGGTTTATTCTGCGCTTACTCACGCAGTTCTCCAGAGGGGTTGAGCTCCAGTTGCCCACTGTAGAAACAGATTTGACAGCATACCCTTTACTGGCTGCCTTCCTTTTCTGTCTGTCTTCCCCACACTGGTATTTCCTGAGATCGCCTTCCAAATAAAGTACATACACTCAAATCCTTGTCTCAGGGTTTGCTTTTGGGTCATCCCAAAGATCCATTTAGAATAGGTACCATTGTTGCCAGTTAATAGATGAAGAACCTAAGGCTCACTGTGGTTAATTTAAGGAATAGCTGTTAAGTCTTAGTGCTTGGGATCTGACTGTAACGCCCATAGACTTTCCTCTACATCAGTGATTCTCAACTAGGGGTGATTTTGTTCCCCAGGGGATGCTTGGCAATGTTTGGAGACATTTTTGGTTGTCACAGCTGGAGAATGCTACTGGAATGTAATGAGTAGATGCCAGGGATGCTGCTAAAAATTCTACAATGTTCAGGACAACCCCCCACCACAAAGACTGATCCAGCCTAAAAAATGACAATAGTGCTGAGGTTGAGAAGCTCTGCTCTACACCTAGCAAGCCAGGTTGTTGTTGGTGGCTCTCATGTGTGCCTTGTCTATTGTATTTCACTTCCAGGGCCAAGCTGTGGCTCAGCTGTGTTCCACCGTCCCCAATGTGACTGTCTTTGGAACGGCTTCTACATTCAAGCACGAAGCAATCAAAGACTCTGTGACCCACCTGTTTGACAGAAATGCAGACTATGTGCAAGAAGTAAAAAGGTAAGGTACTTGCTCTGAAGACCACCACATAGACCCTGGCTCTTCTGTGTCTAAAAACAGTGATGTTCATTTAGAGGAGGGCTATTAATAGTGATGATAATAATAAGCATGCGTTGGGGGCTTAGTATTACTAGGCTCTGTGCAGAGTTGTTGTTAGCTGCTGCTGAGCTGGCTCTCACTCATGGCAACCCCATGTACAACAGAACAAAATGTTGCCCAGTCCTGTGCCATCTTCGTGATCGTTGGTATGCTTGAGTCTAATGTTGTGGTGACTGCATATTTTGAATGCTCCCAACCTATAGGGCTCATCTTTCAGTACTATATTGGACAATAGTCTGTCTGTGCTGAATACTTTAAGTATATTAATTCATTTAATCCTCCCAGCAGCCCTATTATTATCACCATTTCACACAGGATAACACTGAGGCACAGAACAATTAAGTAACTTGCACAGCTAATGTATTAGTTAAGGTTATACTAGCTGCTATAACACTGTCTTAGCACACAGAAGTTTACTTCTCATTCATTCACATAACAGCCCGAGTTACATGTTTGGTGGGTGACCTTCCATAAGGATTCAGGGATCCAAGCTCCTTTCATCTTATGGTTCCACCATTCTCTTGGGTCTTATGGTCCTTTGCTTCTAGCTGCCAGATGGGGAAGGAGCATGGAGGATCATGCACGGGGGGTTTTAATGGGCCAGAAAGAACACATGTAACTCCTGCTGGCATTTTATTGGCTAGTGTTCCAGTCCTTGGCCACACCTAACTGAAAGGAAGCTGTGAAATGTTGTCTAGCCATGTGCCCTGGTGGGCTTGACCCAGGTAGCAATATGGAGACTGGACTCAAACTAGGCATTCAGACTTTGGAACCTGCGCTTTTACTATGGGATAGTGCCTCCCTGAAGGGTGAAGCATGAACAGATGTTAACTGTACGAAGAAGGGGGTGACAGGCAGCACTCTAGGAAGAAGGAACATCACATGCATGTATATTGAGGAATGGAAGTGCCTCAGAGGCTGGAAGAACTGCAAGAAAGCAACATGGGCTCTGATACCAGGGATGTCTGGTTATCTGATCCAATTATGGATACCGGCAAAGGGACAAGTGGGGGCATAAAGTGAGGATGAGCAAGAGACGGATGTCAAATGCACATCAAGAGCTTGTCCAGCAAGCTAGGCAATGTGACGCCAGCCTGAGCATGATCAAGAGCTACTGTAGGGTTAAAGTGGAGACGTGATCAGATTTGAGATTTGAGCAATCACTGGCATGGTGTAGAGAATGGACGGGGGGGAGGCTAGAGGCAGAGAGATCAGTCTACTGGTTGTTGCCATTTCCTTGGGGAAACATTGCTTTATAACCTGATCTGTATTCCACCTGTGTTCGTGAAGCTGTTGATCACAGCCACGTGCATGTCAACACAGAGAATCCAGTGGAAAACCCAGCTGTCACCACAGTTTGAGGTGTTTTATGTGCCCCACACCTGCTGCTGCTCAAGGCTCCGGCTGATTCTCAGGGTCTCTGTCCCTCACAGCTCCAGAGGGAATTCAGGGATGCCCCAGAGCCATGGTTGCAGTATTTTCATTTTCCAGCACTCAGTTGTAAAGTGAAAACCAAACCGATTGCCACTGGGTTGATTCCGACTCATAGCAACCTCATAGGACAGGGTAGAACTACCCCATAGAGTTTCCAAAGCTATAAATCTTCACAGAAGTGGACTACCACATCTTTCTCCTGTGAAGTGGCTGGTGGGTTTGAACCACTGATCTTCTGGTTAGCAGCTGAGTGCTTAACCACTGCACTACCAAGGCTCATTAGACATGCATGCACACACCCAATGTGTACTGAGTGTCTGTGATGGACCAGGTACTGTACTTGAGCAGGGGGTTCCGCAGCCTTGAGAGTCACTGTCATCATGGAGCTTGGAATGTAGTGGGGGGTGGGGGTTAGAAATTAAAAAAAAAAAAACTATAAAAAGAATTAATTGATTTAGACTTTAGAAACATGCTCTGGCAGAGAAATAAAAGATTCCAGTGAGCATAATCAGACAAATCTTCCATCAAAGAGCAAGATTTTGGCTAAGAATTGAAGGATGAGAAGTTGGCCAAGGGAAAAGCATTTCTAACTAGGAGGAATGGCATGTGCTAAGACCCACCCCTCCCCCCCAAAGAAACCATTGCCATTAAATGAATCCCGGTTCATGGCGACCCCATGTATGTGAGAGTAGAACTGCGCTCCATAGAGTTTCAATGGCTGATTTCTCTAAAGTAGATCACCAGGCCTTTCTTCTGAAGCACCTCTGGGTGGACTCCAAGTTCCACCGTTTCGGTTAGTAGCCAAGCATGGTAACCATTTGACTCCAACTCATGGTGACCCCATGTGTGTCAGAGTAGAACTGTGCTCCTTAGTGTTTTCAATAGCTGATTTTTTGGAAGTAGGTCACCAGGCCTTTCTTCTGAGGTACCTCTGGGCACACTTGAACTGTCAACATTTTGGTTGAGTACATAAACCATTTGTGCCACCCAGGGACATCCAGGGTCAGGAAAAGCTTGGTAAATTCAAGAATCTGAAAGAAAGCCAGACAGCTGGAGGAAGTAGGATGTGGGGAGTGGGGGGAGAAGGGTCAGGAGGTGGCAGGTCTTCTGAAAATTTGACAGCCCATAACCAGGAGGCTCCTGCCTTCCCCACTGCCCATGTTGCTGCCCCGTCGCCTCCTCCCCTCAATGTCCTTGACCTGCTGCACTGACCCTGTGAATCAGTGATTTCTGCTCATGTGAGGAGACCAGAAGGCAATGGCATCTGAGACTCGCCTCCCCACCACCTTCATTCAAATGTAACTTCCAAGAGTTCATTTGTTTTTATATAGAGATCCTGGAATTAGACTTCAAATGACCAGGAAACCACAATATGCTGATACCCTCTATCCCACTAAACCTTCCCTAGGAGAGAGTCCAAAAGAAGATAAAAGCAACAGGTGCAAACTGCCTGTTGCAGAGCCAGGCACTGCTTCTGCTTCACTGTGGTGCTGGTGCTCGGCACTTGTCGAGAGGTGAATTATAGCATCATCTGCAGTAGTGAAAAGGCAGAGGCAGCCTCCACAATCAACAGAAGCAAAACATTCGGTGGATTATGGTACACCCACACATCTGGGTATTATGCCCTAAAAATGATCATTATGAATGCTGTGTTGCAAAATGAAAAAAAAAAAAAACTGTCCATGGAAGCCTATTGATCGAGAAAAGCAGAATGCCAAATTCCGTCTACACGATGATCACAGCTTTGTACAGATTTCCAGTGCATGTGGACATAATATGAAAGGAGAGAGAAAAAAAAAACTGCCACTATGCAACAGGAGTGGAGTTCAGAGAGATTTTTCTTTGTTTTTGGATCACTGATATCATTACACTGCTATGTGTGTGGAAAACTAGAAAAAAATTAATAAGATATCTTGAGATGAAAATTCTTTTATAAACCGGGCATTTAGTAAGCCTCTTTTGAACATGTTTCATCCTTGATTAGAACTGTAAAGGTAATAAAAAAAACAAACAAACCTGTTGCCATCAAGTCACTTCTGACTCATAGCGACCCTGTAGGACAGGGTAGAACTGCCCCATAGGATTTCCAGGGAGTGGTTGGTGGATTCGAACTGCCAACCTTTTGGTTGGCAGCCGAGCTTTAACCACTGTGCCAGCAGGGCTAGAAAAGTATTTATGACACAGACCTTACTTTTACATCACTTACACTCTTTCTTTATGGGAGGCGAGGGATGACTACAGGTGAAACCAAGCAAAAGACTTAGCAGTCTTGAATGGTGTGCATCTGTTTGTAAAGGCTTTAAAAATAAAGGGGAGAGAAAGATCAGAGAGGGCCAAGGTGGACAGCGCCTAAGGATGGGAACAATTCCAGTAGGTAGAGGGAAGTGGGGAGTGAGTCCCAGGCAAGGGGAGCAGGGACAGGGCAGGGCAAATAATAGCACCCACGCTTTGTTGAAGGAGCTCTCGTGGTGCAACGGTGAAGTGCTCGGCTGCTAATCAAAAGGTTGGCAGCTCGAACCCACCCAGCGGCTCCATGGGAAGAAGACCTGGCGTCTGCTCCTGTAAAGATTACGGCCTAGAAAACCAGATAGGGCAGTTGTACCATCACATGGGGTTACTATGAGCTGAAACCGATTCGAGGGCACACAACAACAACAACACACTTTGTTGAGCTCCTCTCAGATGCCAGGCACTCTGCTAAGGCCTCTGCTGACACCATTTCATGTGTACCTTAGATACTCCTTCAAGGTGAAAGTTCCTATCCTCATTTTACAGATGAGGAAACTGAAGTTTAGGAACAGATTTGGCCTCATGGTATGTGATTCTATGAACTATCTACTCTATAGACCTCCTCTTGGTTTACAAAGGGACTTAAGGAAGCTTTTGGGGGTGATGGATATGTTTATTACCTTGATTGTGGTGATGGTTTCACAGGTGTATGCGCATGTCAAAACTCATCAAATTGTACATTTAAAATATGTGCAATATATTGTATGCCAGTTGTATTTCAATAAAGCTGTATAAGACTGCCTCTTAGAAATCTAACTTTTTTTTAACTACACGGTATTTTTTTTTTTATTGTTGTGCTTTAAATGAAAGTTTACAGTTCAATTTTAGTCTCTCATACAAAAATTTATACCTACATTGTTATGTGACCCTAGCTGCTCTCCCTATACTGTGACAGCACACTCCTCCTTTCCACCCAATTTCCCGTGTCCATTCAACCAGCTCCTGACCCTCTCTGCCTTCTCATCTCACCTTTGGACAGGAGCTGCCCATTTAGTCTCATGTATCTACTTGAGCTAAGAAGTACACTCTTCACGAGTATCATTTTATGTCCCATAGTCCAGTCTAATCTTTGTCTGAAGAGTTGGCCTCAGGAATGGTTTTAGTTTTGGGCTAACAGAGAGTCTGGGGGCCATGTCTTCCTGGATCCCTCCAGTCTCAATAAACCATTAAGCCTGGTCTTTTTACTAGAAATTGAGTTTTGTACCCCACTTTTCTCCTGCTCCATCAGGGACTCTCTGTTGTATTCCCTGTCAGGGCGGTCATTGGTGGAAGCCGGGCACCATTTAATTCTTCTGGTCTCCAGCTGATGAAGTCTCTGGTTTATGTGGCCCTTTCTGTCTCTTGGACTAATACTTTCCTTATGTTTATGGTGTTCTTCATTCTCCTTTACTGCAGGTGGGTTGGGAGCAATTGGTGCATCTTAGATGGCCGCTCGCTAGCTTTTAAGACCGCAGACGCCACTCACCAAAGTGGGATGCAGAACATTTTCTTAATAAACTTTGTTATGCCAATTGACCTAGATGTCCCCCGAAACCATGGTCCCCAGACTCCTGCCCCTGCTACTCTGTCTGTCAAAGGGTTTGGTTGTATTTAGGAAAGTTCTTAGCTTTTTGGTTTAGTCCAGTTGTGCTGATGTCCCCTGTAGTGTGTGGCGTCCTTCCCTTCACCTAAGATAATTCTTATCTACTGTCTAGTTAGGGAATACCCCCTCCCTCCATCCCCACCCTCGTAACCATCAAACAATGTTTTCTTCTGTGTTTAAACCTTTTCTTGAGTTCTTATGATAGTGGTCTTACACAGTATTTGTCCTTTTGTGACTGACTAAACTCACTCAGCATAATGCCTTCCAGATTCCTCCACGTTATAAGATGTTTTATGGATTAATCGTTGTTCTTTATTGTTGCATAGTATTCCATTGTACTACACAGTATTTTTTAGACATTTCTTCATTCATTCAACAAGTATTAGTGATGCCTACAATGATCTGTCAGTTTGTTATACTGTGGTGGCTTGTGTGTTGCTGTGATGCTGGAAGCTATGCCACCAGTATTTCAAATACTAACAGGGTCAGCCATGGTGGACAGGTTTCAGCAGAGCTTCTAGACTAAGATAGACTAGGAAGAAAGGCCTGGTGATCTCCTCAAAATCAGCAATGAAAACCTTATGGATCACAATAGAATACTGTCCAACTTGCTTGGTTTGGACACGTCATCACTAGAAGAGGACATGTTTGGTGAAGTAGAAGGCCAGCAAGGATGAGGCAGACCCTCAATGAGATGGATTGGCACAGTAGCCTCAGTGATGGACTTGAACATGCCAGTGACTGTGAGGATGATGCAGGACCGGGTAAAGTTTTGTTCTGTTGTATGTAAGGTCGTCATGAGCCAGAGTTGACTCAATGGCAGCTAGCTATCTCTGTTCAATGAACTGGGCACCAAAGGCACAATGATGAACAAGACAAGCACGATCCCTGTGACCTGGAGCATCCAATTGGTGGAGGAGACAGCTGGCTACACGGGTAATTGCAAGACAATGATGTCAGTGCCCTGCTGTGGAAGTGCCTGGTGCTGGAGGAACACAAGTAAGCAGTGTCTAAGTGGATGCCCAAGAACATGGAAGAGCTTTCCTCCATTCCTTATAAGTCTTATGAAATAGGTATTGTCCTTATTTGACAGAGAAGGAAGTTGAGGCTTAGCCCCAGGGTCACATAGGTACAAGTGGCAAGACTCACCCAGAACTTTCTGGTTCCAGATTTTGCGCTCTGTCTACCACCTGCACTCGCTCTCACAAAGGCAGTCGAGGGTGCTTGTTTATGAGCAGTGAGGAAACCCGGCTGCGCATATTATGGGACGCCAGGTAGTGTGAGATACACGGATGGTTAGAGGAGAGATAGACCAGGATTTCTCATCTCAGCAGTATTGATATTTTGGGTCCGATAATGCTTTGTGGTGGGAGGCTGTCCTGTACACTGTGGCATGATTAGCAGCATCCCTGGCCTGTACTGAGTAGACGTCAGTTGCTGTTGTTAGCTGCCACCAAGTTGGCCCCTAACTCATGGCGACCCCGTGCACAATGGAACAAAACGCTGCATGGTCCTGCGCCATCCCCATGATCAGTTCGTTGTGATCCATAGGGTTTTCATTGGCTGACTTTCCAGGCTTTTCTTCTTAGTCTTAGTTTGGAAGCTCTGCTAAAACCTGTTCAGCATCACAGCAACATGCAAGCCTCCACTGATAGACGGGTGGTGGCTGCACATGAGGTACCTTGGCAGGGAATTGTATCTGGGTTTCCCACATGAAAGGAGAAAATTCTATCACTGAGCCACCACTGCCTTTAGATGTCAGTAGCACCCCCCAAGCTGTGACAACTGCAAAGTCTTCAGACATTGCCAGATGCCCTGGGTAGGGGTGGGGTGGGGGAGATGGCTGTGAAAAATCTCTCTCTGTTGAGAAGCACTGAGCTCAATTGATGAAGCTCTTGAAAGCCCTTAAATGGAGTTAAGATTGGATTATGTCAGAAACATGGAGTCCTTTGAGATTTGAAGCAGGTAAGAGCTGTTATGAAAGATGAATTTACAAAAACATTGATCTGGCCATAGTGCATAGGATGGATGGGAGAAGGGACAGCCAGAATCAGGGGAAGCAAGCAACAGAAGTGGCAAGGACAAGACAAGAGCCAACAGGTAATTTGAAGGAGAACAAGACATGGTCACTGAATGAATTTGGGGAATGCCAAGATGACAAGCATCAGAAACTGTAATGATTTCCTTCAAACAAGATGAATATAGCGTGAGGGTAAACCTTTAGAAGGTGTGTCCAGCACGCCAGGGAAAAGGAGGACTGGAGCTTGGGTGAGTGAAAAACCCACTCCCTTCAAGCATCTGCTGAGTGACTCCTATGAGAGGGCTCTGGAAATTGGGGAAACAGAGATGAGAAATAGTCCCTGTGCCAAAGGAGCACAAAGCCCACAGAGAAAAGAATAAAATCACACTGTAGGGGGATCTCCGACTTGTCCAAATGGTTTGAGTCTGCAGGTATCAGGCATAGGTGAGGTAGAGAAATGCAAGCCCAGAAAAGGCAGGGATCATATCTAGCTCCTCCTCTTCTGCATCCTCAGTGCTTAGCACAATGCCTGGCACCACATAGCAGGGTACAGTCCCAGGCACTGTGCTCAGCCCTCTGTGAGAAGCCTACTATATGCCAAGCACTGTGGTTAACCTGCCTTGAGAAGCCTACTGTGTGCTGGGAACTGCCTCAACCTGCTGTGAAAATCCTGTTGTGTACCAGGCACTGTGCTTGACCCACTGTGAGAAGCCTACTGTGTATCGGGCACTGTGCTTAACCAGCTGTGAGAAGACTACTGTGTGTCAGGTACTCTGCTCAGGCCTCTATGAGAAGCCTACTGTGTGCTGGGCACTGCCTCGACCTGCTGTGAAAAGCCTACTGTGCACTGGGCACTGTGTTCGATCTGCTGTGAGAAGCCTAGTATGCACCAGACACTGTGCTCAGCATCCTGTGCAAAGTCCACTGTGCAATAGGTGCACCGTGCTTAACCCTCAGTGAGAAGCTTACCGTGCACCAGGCACTGTGCTGGACACGTTGTGTGAAGCCTACTATTCCAGGCATTGTGCTTGGCATGTTGTGCAAAGCCTGCAATGCCAGGCACTGTGCTGGATGCTCTGAAGTGTCTCATCCCATCATGAGCACAAAGGTGATGGTTAAAGCTATGGCACAGATGAGTTCTCAGAGAAAAGGGCTTTCAGAACAAGAAGAACTGAGTGGAGAGCCAAGGATCCAGCTGGAAATGAAAGTCAGAATAAGGAGGAATTAATTTCTGGCAAGGTGGAAGGATTTCTCTCCCAGTAATGGCTGTATTAGAAACCTACCATCACTCCAGAAATTCATCACTGATCCATGTGGGTGGGAAGTAAAGAGGTGGCATTCACAGTGAAGGGACGAGGGGTTGGGGACAAAGGAAGGACAGACACAAAAGTCTTGGATCAGCAATTCCAAAATATCTTGCTGCCAAATTTGGCCCAAAGAATCCCTGAGCTGGGGCTATTTGTGTGTTTTTTTAAAATCCACAGAGATTTACAACAGCAGGAGAATGCAGACCTAGAAGCCACTGAATTTGGCCCTCTCTGCTCTTATGTAATTATAATTCCAATGCACACTCAGGTTTGAGATCCACTAGCCTACAGTGTCTTAATTCTCTGGTTCTGAACTTAAACAGGTAGGGCTTTAGAGGACACACCTGTGCAGATACTGTTCTATGGGGCTGGAAGCGAAGCTGATCACTTTGGATGAGCCTTTGCAGTGGGCTATATTTGGGGCATGACTTGAGGGCTTGACGGCTCAGAGAAGTTGAGGGAGGTGGCTAGACACAAACTCAGACTGTCTGATCTGATGTCCCTGCTCTTTGCCCTACCCCAGGGTGGTTCCTGATATCAGCCAACAGCCAGATTCCTAACTGCTTCAAGCTTTGTGAAATTCTTACATTTGGCCATGGGAGGGTAAATTCACCTCCCAGGCTTTGCCTATTTAATCCTACTCCTGGAGCTCTGACTGTTCCTAATTCTGGGAGTAAGGCAATGTGTTGTAGGAAGGGAAGGGGATTGGTTATAAGTACAGATTATAGTACTTTGCTTTGTCTCCTCACCATCTAGAATCTCTGCTGAAGGTGTGGACATCGTTTTGGATTGCCTCTGTGGGGACAACACTGGAAAAGGTCTCAGCCTTCTCAAACCACTGGGAACCTACATTTTATATGGTGAGTGCTACAGAGAAGCAGGAGCATGGCCATTGACAGGGAACACTACACATGTGCCTACAGACAAAAGACCTGAACAATGAAATGTGGTGGGTAGTGGGATTAGGGGTGTTCAATTTTTTTCATGTTTTCTATAATATTTTTGTTAGTTGTTTTCAATTATAAAATGGCATATGTGTCTACTGACCCCCATGAATACTTCTGATTTCAAAATAGATAAAACAAGGCCAAACCAATGTCACCAAGATGGCTAGAACTATTAAGGGACTTCACCCACAGAAGGTGATGCAGGTGGAAAATATTAACGGTTTCAAAGGAAGTTCAGAAAATGAGGGAATGAAGGGCTCACAGTAGGGCAGAGAAGAGTGGCCAGGATGTAGGGGTTTTATGGAGGTTCTTCACCCATTAAAGATGCAGTTGCAAATACAGACTCCCCTTCCTCTAAACCACCCTTTTGTGTCCCAATCGAGACAGAAGCCCTGGACAGATGGAGCACATGTCTGGCCCTGCCTGCTTCTACTTTCACTTCAGCGTCCTTGGGTATGGGGGGATTTATGAAAGACATCTGGGAACAGACTTCTCCAGTATAATAGACTCCAGAGCCACCCCCTCCCTCTTCTTCTTTTCTTCTGCCATAGGCATGTGTTATGGATTGAATTGTGTCCCCAAAAAATATGTGTTTTAAATCCAAACCCCTATACTTGTGGATGTAATCCCATTTGGGAATTGAGTTTTCTCTGTTATGATAATGAGGCCATATCAGTGTAGGGTGTGTTTTAAGCCAATCACTTTGAGATATAAAAAGAGCAGATTAGGCACAGAAACAGGAAACACAAATGGAGAAAGATTGATACCATGTGGAGATCATCAAGGGACCAAGGAAGCGAAGTTGAAAGAGACAAGGATTTTCCCCCAAAGCAGATAGAGAAAGCCTTCCCCTAGAGCCAGTGCCCTGAATTCAGACTTCTAGCCTCCTAAACTGTGAGAAGATAAATTTGTTTGTTAAAGTCACCCACTTGTGGTATTTCTGTTATAGCAGCACTGAGAAGCTAAGATAGAATGCAAACTAATTAAAGTATTAGTTTTCTCAAAATCAAAAAGGCATATCTTTTGCTAGACATCACATTTCAAAGCCAAATGATTTTGGGGTTAACCGGTGTTTGAGATTCTTGGCCCCACTTTCCTCTTTAGGTACAATAGAAAATTGAGCCTTAACTCTAGATAACACGGGGAAAACATACTCATTTTCCTTGTTATTAACTGATGAACTTATAAAAGAGATATTTGAAGGGTATAAATATTCAAGAATCTCTTTGTCATCATTAGATGACAGAAAGAAAGTTGAGGGAGCCAGAGGAAGGGGTAAATTTTCCATTGCTGGAGTGTTCAGGTATTTTCAGTAGTGGCCACATATTTGGGAGTCCTTGCAGATGGATGCATGATGATGATGATAATGATTATTATTAAAATTATTGATACGAGATGCTATAAGGGTCAGTGCAGTATGTTGGAATATTGGATATGGCTAACTTGTGAGTAAATCCCCGTTGCCATTGAGTCAATTCCGACTCATAGCAACCCCATAGGGCAGAGTAGAACTGCCCCATAGAGTTTCGAAGGAGCGGCTGGTGGATTTGAATTGCCAACCTTTTGGTTAGCAGCCATAGCTCTTAACCACTGCTCCACCAGGACTCTAGTGAGTAAATACAGATGGATGATTAATTCATCCTTATTTAATATTTACCAGAAGTTCTATTTTTGCTGCAGTTCCAGGATGTCATTTTGGTGGAATTAAACTTGATCAGCTCACAAGTATCTAATTAATTATATTGACTGTTTGATTACTAAGTAATTGAAGCCTGGTACTGAGATGTCTGAGTCCTCACTCCGTAGATGTGGAAGCACTGGTTTACCAACTGCCTGCTAGCTTACCTGAGCCAGCTAATTAAGGTTGAAAGATATACTTTTTCTTTTCATTTTTTTTTTTTTTTTTTCATTAAATAACAATACTCTGAGAAGGATTTTTCTCCTAAATATCTGGGGACAAGGCCAGGAAGTTGTTGAAAAGGCATCAATATGGCATCCAAATGTTTCCAACACTGATAAGAGCTCTCTTCTACCCAAAAGATAACTTACAAAGGGGTTTTTTCTAGCTATGTGACCATCTTAGGGAATCTTTCCCATCTGCCCTCTGAATATTGATTCTTCCGATTTACAAATCCCAATTTCTCACACCATTTGTCTCAAGTGGCTTTTACCTTCCTGCCTAGACATCTTTGGGAGTCCCTCGGTGGTGCAAATGGTTAAGCGCTAGACCGCTAACCGAAAGGTTGGCTGTTTGAACCCACCCAGAGGTACCGGGGAAGACAGGCCTGGCAATCTGCTTCTGAAAGGTCATAGCCTTGAAAACCCTGTGGAGCAGTTCTACTCTGCACACATGGGGTCCCTGTGAGTCGGAGTCAATTCGACCATAACTCACAATGATAATCAGACATCTTTGGAGATGACACATTGGTCACACCATTTCCTTGGCTTCTGAACCTGTCTTCATGTTCACTTGCCTTCTGTACTCATTTTTTTCTATCCATCTAAATTCTAACCCACGCCCCTCCCCACCTAAGTGGCCAGCGACAGCTTCCAAAATCCCAGCCCGCATCAGAGCTGCAGACCCATCACTTGCCCAAGATTTGAATTCAGACACATAAAGTAGGCCCACATAGGAGCTCTCAGTGTCAAAGAACAGTACCAAAAAGACATTTCAGCAGCTATCATTTCAGTAAAATGTTGATCTAAATCACAAACAATCTTTTTGCTACATCCCCTATTTCCCAAAGTAATGAAATGTTCACCTTGAGAAGCATTACCTAGCTAAAATAGTCAAATAGTACCACCCTTCACTTCCCTCATTTTTCCAAGGCGGGATTAAATTCTTTTCAAGCTCTTGTCAGTTGTGGACCAAACAACTGCCACTGTTCCTTGAGTAACAAGAGATGTTGATTTTCATTAGCAATAGCTTGATCTGGGAATCCTCCATTTGCAGGTTCATCCAACATGGTGACCGGGGAGACCAAGAGCTTCTTTAGCTTTGCAAAATCAGTAAGTATCTGTGCACGGGCAATGTATTGTGGTGGTGCATGTTTGCATGTTGTGAGCTCTTCCTTCTTAGAATCATTGACCTGATCTTGTTTGTCCTTCATCTGCATCATTCATTTGCCATGAAGTCTACATTCCTGCCCTGCTTCACAACAAGTGGGCAGGGCTATGACTGGGCTGCTTTGGTCTAAATGAAGCAGAGAGGTGGAAGTGTCAGTAAAGCTTCACAGAGATTGCTTGAGTGTTGGAGTTTTTAGTCATTGGTCAAAAATGAACTTAGCGCTGGTGCATTTTATTTGCCCTAGGGGATGGCCAATTTTCGATTTGTCCACTTCCTGGCCAGGAAGGCAGGGGATCCTACAATTTTAACAAGCTCCTTAGGTGATATTTAGACACAGGCAAGGTGTTCAGTCACTATCTTAGATGATAGGGTCTGAATGTGATGCTTACTTGGTCTGCTATTGAGAAGTCACATCCCTGGGTGTTCACCTTACTAGGAACCTACTCAGAATGACATTCTCACCTAGAGCTGCACTGCTAGAATTAAGCTAATCTGGGCTGGGATTTTTATCCCACAACAAGGACTTGCTGCCTTTCCTAAGTGCTTGCTTTTATCCCTACTCCAGCCTTTATGCAGCCACTGCAGAATTGATTCATCCACTTTACAAGCATTTTCTGAGCACTTCCTATTTGTGGCACCCTGCCAGGCCCTGGGGCATCACAGTGAAGGAGATAGGTGTACCTTTGGCCCTCATGGGGGCTTACATTCTAATGAGAGAGACAAACGCAAAATAAATAAAACTTAGGGATTACATGACTATAAATGGTTATAAAATCTATGAAGGGGATAAAAGCAGGGCGATGGGGCAGAGGGATTTTGTACAGGAAGGTCAGGGAAAGCATGGTAAGGGGTTGGAATTCATTCTAAGTGCAGCACTATGGAGTCTTCCAATGCCCCCTGGGTGCCAACACTGGCTCCCAAAAGCTCCTCCCCGCAAACATTCCTGCATTCTGGAATGGATAGTACTACTTGCCCTTGTGAGACTAGAATTAAAGAACCTCCTTTTGCATGTGAGCTTTAAGATCCAGATGTAGAATTATCTCAACTCCAGAATCTGCAGGCAGAGCCATAAAGGAGACTAAGTAAGGAAGGGTGCTGTCTGGAGTGTCTCTTTAAGACAGGCTTTGTACCACTCACAGCTGTTTTGTTGCTGTGGCTGTAATTAACGGGATGCGGACAGACTGCTGTGGGTAACCAAATTGGTCCCAAATTACATACAATTGTAAGAAGTGTTTTCCCTCTCTCCCCTAAATGCACAATCACAACACACAGTGTTAATGAAATAATTGCAGTGCATCCGCGTTCGATGGAGGCTGACAGTCCCCTGCCTGAAACAGAGACACCAATTACCAGAAGGCTTCGTAGCTCCTGGTCCAGAATGAAGACTTTCTTTATCAATGGTCCAATGTTAGTAGGTCAAATAGAAGGAAATTAGAGAGAGGACATCGTTCATTCTGAGGAATGGAATGATGATTTGTTCTGGAAGGTACTAGAAAGGAATTTTCTTCTCTACATTCAGGAGAGGCTTAGAAATTAAAGGCATATTTGGAACCACGCAGGGCTTTTTTGCTCAGCTGTCTTAATTGCCCTCTACCTTAAAACTCCGGCAGAGCCAATGCTTCCTCTTTGTCAAATGTGCCCTTTGCTTTCAGACCGCTAACAATGATAATAATTAACAGGTGAAGCTAACATTTAGCAATCAGTCTTACTCCTGATCCAGAGAGCGTATTCACTAAATCAAAAGCATCCTTTACAACTTAAGGTGATAAAAGAAATTAACATTTATAGAGCACCTCTAAGAGCTCAGCTGCTAACCAAAAGCCGGCAGTTCAAATCCACCAGCTGCTCCTTGGAAACTCTGCGGCAGTTCTACTCTGTCCAATAGGGTCGCTATGAGTCAGTATCAACTCGACAACAAAGAGTTTGGTTTTTTTGGTTTTCTATGTGTCAGACACTGTTCTAAGCACTTTCTGTGTTTTAATACATTTACTCCTCAGGATGACCCCATGAGATACAGTGAGGAAACTGAGGCACAGAGAGGTTAAGTGACTTGCCTAAAGTCACACAGCTAGTAAGTGGCAGAGCTGGGACTCAGCTCCAAAACTCTCTTAACCACAAGTCTGGCAATTGTAGATTCAGTAAGCATTTACTCCAAAACATCCATTGAGGTGTTGCAGATACCATGAAAATCAAGTTAAATGATTACATTTTTTCTATCTTTGTTTTTGGTGGCAAATAGCCCATGGCCAAATGCATTGCTCTTGTTGAGTTGGCCCTCAGGCTCTCCTGGAATATACTTTGGAAAAGAATTTTCCTCATTCCTGTCTTCAACCCGTCTACCCCACACTTATTTTCCCGGCAACATTATTTTCCCACATTAAAAAAAAAATCAAAATATTTCATTATTGTGAACCTCCTCCATCTTTTTCAGAAAGAAGCAGGATATAAATAAACACTGATAACATACATATTATAAATGTTCCTAATTGCATATCACATTCCTCTTTGCCTTCTATATTAAAACTGATATGAAGCATTTCACCTCTTAAAACTCTCCAGACACTGAAAGTTTGAATTTCTAAGCTATAACCAAAACCAAAGGAAAAGCAATTAAATTAGAACAAAGCAATTGGACCACCATTTCTATAGGTTGTTGGTGGATTATTTACTTATTTTGATGTCCGAGGGGAGATGAGGGACTGAATAGAGACAGCCACATTTACCAGCCACATGTATCCCACCCAGGACCTCTTTAGACCAGGGTTTCTCAACCTTGGCACTATTGACATTTGGGTTGGACGATTGTTTGGTGTGAGGGGTTGTCCTGAGCATAGTAGGATGTTTAGCAGCATACCTGGCCTCTACCCACTAGATGCTTTTAGCACCCTCCCCTCCCCCAGTCATCACAACCAAAAATGTCTCCAGATATTACCAAATATATATGGCAGGGGAGGCAAAATTGCCCCCAGTTGAGAACCATTGCCTTAGTCCCAACACTCTGGCTTCATTACTCCTTCATGCTGTTCCTTCCTATATTACATCTCCCTACTCTTCTTCATCTGATGGGCTTCTACCTACCTTGTTAACTCCTTTGGAAAGCTGCTACCATAGTCAAATTCTATCACCTCCATCCTGTCCCCACCGACCTTTGTAACTTCTCTGCCACTCTACCCCCTTCATCAACCCATCACCACCACCATCATTTATTAAGCCCAGCCCAGTGCTTTACACTTAATTCTCCCAGAAAACCTCAGAAGCGATATCACACCACTTAGCCATTTGAGAACAATGAGGCACAAAGAATAACAGCAAGCAAATGGTGGAGCCAGGATTCAACCCCAAGTGGTTTAGCCCCATAGCCAATGATCCTAAAACTACACCTTAATGTTTCCTTTACAAGTGGCCTAGTCATTGCTTTTGTAAAGGGCTCTGTCTCCCACCTAGATCCTAAACTTCTCACAACCATCACCATCTCTTGTTTCCCATGTATTTGTAGGAATTATGGAAAAATAAATAATTCCATATTTGTGGGGCTTAAAAAAAATAGCCCCACAGGAGCTAACTCTTGGTCAGCTGGAATCTGCTCAGCTGTAGCTCCATCCTCCTCCTGCATTCACTGATAATATTGGCGTTATTAATGTTTGGTTTCTGGTAACCTGGTGCCATTTCTCCTTCCAGTGGTGGCAGGTGGAGAAAGTGAATCCCATCAAGCTGTATGAAGAGAACAAAGTCATTGCGGGGTTTTCTCTTTTAAATCTGCTCTTCAAACAGGGCCGTGCAGGCCTCATCCGAGGAGTGGTGGACAAACTCATAGGGCTCTATGATCAGAAGAAGATCAAGCCCGTCGTTGACTCCTTATGGGCCTTGGAGGAGGTAAGAATGGTGTTTTTCTCAAGCAAATAACCTTTTCTTTTTGTCCAGGTATATCTGAGCAACCAGATACAATCTTCTATTAAATGATTCTTCTCCAGGTTAGTTTGTTTTAAACAAGAGTCCTAAGAGTCATTGTCTTACAGCATAGAGCTTTAGATGTACTAAATGCTTTGTTACCTAGTATCAAACTACAGGCCTCACCATGCCTATGTGCCCTGAACCCTTCTCAAGTAGGCCACCAAATTTTGATGGATGTGTAAAATTCACCTTGGTTCATAGAAAATGTGTACATAGTTTCAGGGTCATGTACGTTGTTGTCTTGTGCATATATAAGAGATCATGGGCAGGGCAGACAATGGCTCAGAGCTGAAATTATTTGTGTGCTAACCCCAAATGTTTTGAGTCGCCGCAAGACATTGTTAGTTGTCATGATGGATGTTGTAACTGTTGCTGAATTGTTGGGTTGAATGTTGGATTGCATCTTTTCTTTAAGTGATCTGCCAAAAATGTTAGTATTTGAAAGAATTCCTTGGTCACAAAAAGATGAAGAACCCCTCATGTAACCTTCTAAGGATATTGAAGCATAGACTGGTTGTATTGGCTCAGATGGGACTTGCTAGAAGAAGGCAGAAAACTCTCCAGGATAAGGCAAAGTTTGGGTACTTGGGAAGTCAGTCATTGTAGCTATCCACAGGAGAAAATGAAGAGATGGCCTGGGTTTTAGGAAGCATTTAACTAAGAAATCCTAAGTCAGAGATTTGAAACCTTGGCTTCAGGGAGCCACGAGCTCCCTGAAAAATATTTTTAAATACTTAGGAATATGTATATTTTGCATTTTCCAGAGGTGAGGTACCTTGGAATACAAGTGCTTTTATTGTACTTTTTGGGGGGATATGGACACCTTTGAAAAAAATCAATAAACCCTAAATTCTATGGAACAGAAAGTGGCTGGCATCATGGCACTAAAGCTGGTGATACTTGCCAGAAATTTACTAAGTTTGCCAAAATCTGATGGCTTCTCTAAGCACAGAAACCCCCCAAAAAAGCCTTTTGGGGGTCACAGTGTAATCAAGTAGAACTGATCCTGACTCTATAGCTCAGGAATGACCTATATAATCCTCTCTGACACTGTGTTATCCTGGATGGTCTTAAGAAACCCAATCACCAAAAAACCTTGTTTCTTATAAAAGTAAGACATGCTCACTATAGGAAATTCATAAATTAACCAAAAGCATAAGGAGAAAATAAGCTGAGTCCACATCCCAGAGAGGGATAACATTGTTAACATTTTAGTTTGCTTCTTTTCAGTCTTTCTTCCATTGCAAATGATCACCGTTATTCAACTTCTTGCTAAATCAAATCAGACAATCATGTATGCCTTCTGTTGTGTAATTTCCAAGATGGTTGACCTATCATAATTTTCTTAAAAATGTTTTTAATTTGATGCATCAGATGTCCGTATGATATTCACCATGGTATCTCAGTGGAACAGGGAAGGGCTGATTGCGTGGTTACCAAGTTCTCAGTGGTCAGGGAAGAGAGAAAACTGGGAATAGTCAAGGCCAAGGCTAAGAGATTAAGTTTTCTATGAGCAGAGATTCCCATTGCTGTTGAGTTGATTCCAACTCATAGCTACGCTATAGGACAGAGCAGAACTGCCCCATAGAGTTTCCAAGGAGCGGCTGGTAGATTCAAACTGCAGACCTTTTGGTTAGCAGCCAAGCTTTTAACCACTACGCCACCAGGGTTTCCATGAGCAGATAAGGGGACATAAAATTAAATTCAGTGCCCAAATGGACCCAGCAAATCTGGGTATACTTAAGCAAGCATTGAAATCCAAGAGGGGTCCAGTTGGCCCAATGGGTCCTTGAAGCAATAGGACTTTCTGCCATGGTCCTTGAAGCAACAGGACTTTCTACCATGGTAATGCAATGGTTAAGTGTTCAGCTGCTGGCCAAAATATTGGTGGTTTGAACCCTCCAGCCACAGGAGAAAGATGCAGCAGTCTGCTTCCAGAAAGATTTACAGCCTTGGAAACCCTGTGGGGGTTTCTACAGTGTCCTATAGGATCCCTATGAGTTGGAATTTGACTCTACAGAAATAGGGTGACCATATGAATGGTAATGGAATCACCAAATATTTATTGAGTAACCACTATGTACCCAGCACTGAACAGATACCTGAGGATACAGTGATGAAGAAATGGGCAAGATTCCTGGCCCTCACGGAGCTTATATTCAGAGGGGTAGAGAGGTGAAGAAACATAGGCATGGTATTTGCCAATTGTGATAAGTGCTTGGATAAATTAGGATATGTGTTGGTGAATAAGTAGGGGGACTTAGTTTACACAGAGCAGTGTTTCTTGATCTTTATTTCATTAGTGCTCCCCACAATTTTTAGACATTTTTTTCCTAACCATCCCCCATGAAAGAGCCTTTTTAGATATTTTGTTCCTAATCATCCTCCTATGAAATTTTAATACCATAAATACACTATATATTTGTTTATGTACTGTATGTATATCTGTGCTTTTATACATAAAAAAGAGTAAGATTTTTTTTCCACTCCCCTAAGAATGACTTTTTACCCCTTTGGCTATTCTCTCTCCCTTTAAAAAAAAGTCCACTTGTCATCAAGTCAATTCTGACTCATGGTGACTCCATGTGTATCAGAGTAGAATTGTGCCTCATAGGGTTTTTCAATGGCTGATTTTTCAGAAGTAGATAGCCAGGCCTTTCTTCTGAGGTGCCTCTGGGTAGATGTGAACCTCTAGCCTTTTGGTTAGCAGTCAAGCATGTTAACCATTTGCACTACCCAGGGACCTCCTTCCCTTTATCCTGTTTGATGTTAACCATTGTATTTATCCCTGGTTGAAGTTATCTTGTTCATTCGTTTGTGACTTGTTTAAAGTCTTGTCTCCCTTCCACCAGAATGTAAACCCTATGTGAGGAAAGACCTTGACTATGTCATTCTGGCACAGAGTAAACCAAAACCAAACTCATTGCCATTGAGTCGATTCCAACTCATAGCGACCCTACAGGACTGAGTAGAACTGCCCCATAGGGTTTCTAAGGCTGTAAATCTTTTTACAGAAGCAGACTGTCACATCTTTCTCCCATGGAGTGGCTGCTGGGTTCAAACTGCCAACCTTTCAGTTAGCAGCCGAGTGTTTAACCACTGCACCACCAGGGCTCTGGCACAGAGTAGGGGCTCAATAAATATTTATTACATGAGTGAATTAATGACTCCACCAACACACAGCACAATGGCTACTTAGATATGTTCTATATTTGACAATAAATATTTGTTGAATAAATAAATGAATGAACAAGCTATACTAAAAGAAGATATTATTACTTTAAGATAGGGTTTCTCAACCTTGGCAATATTGACATTTTGTATCAGATAATTCTTTGTGGTGGGGGCTGTCCTGTGCATTGTAGGATGTTTAGCAGCATCTCTGGCCTCTACTCACTAGATGCCAGTAGCACCTCCTTTCCCCTAGTTGTGGCAACCACAGTGCCATGTCCCCTAGGGAGCGGGAGAGGCAAAATCTCCTCCTATTGAGAACCACTGTCTTAAAAGAAGACATAGGATAAGATATCCACCAGCCAAATCAAGAAATTATAGTGCCCTTGGCATGCTAATCCTCCACTGAGGGAGACAGATGCCGGCTGCCTGTTGGCCAACAAAAGCTTCCACAGCCACTCATCAGTAACACCCACCGACTTTCTGAGGGCTCTTTTCTGCAATATTTACAGACATCTGTTTAGAGCTGCAGTTGGGCCAAACTCAGCTATTTATCAAGCCCACCCAGCTCTTCTGGACTTGAAGAGAGTAGAGCATGCTTATTACTTGTGAACCTCAGGAGGACTATAATGACTTTTTTCCCCTCCCCTTTGGTAAATGATTACACAAAATTGCTTTTCAGGCCAACTGTATAACTTCATCTGTGGGATACAAAGCACATAGGGATTAAAAGAAAAATTTCCCGGGCTCTCTGTGCCCTCAAACTAGAAGATTTAATAATATCAGAGACTATTGAAGTTTCTTTTTCAGTCATCTGTCTTTGATTGTATTATAAATTTAATACACAAAGCAGCACTGGGTTTGCCTCCAGATACTAAAAGTACAGCTGTACAGTAAGCTGGAAGAAGTTAATGTCTCTGTAGTGGGTTGAATGTTCTTGTTGTTAGTTGCCATTGAGCTGGCTCCGACTCATGGTGACCTTCAGTATAACAGAACGGAACGTTGCCCCGTCCTGAGCCATCTTCATGATCACTGGTATGTTTGTGTTTTCCAGCAATATAGTCTGTTGTGATCTATAAGGTTTTCATTGGCTGATTTTTGGAAATAGATCACCAGGTCTTTCTTCCTAGTCTGCCTTAGTCTAGAAGCTCTGTGTGGAGATGACAATTTTTAAAATCTTTGATTAAAGGCATTATCCGTAGTATTTTACAACATAAAGGTCTATGACTACACTGTCCATATGGTAGCCACTAGCCATATGTGGCTATTTAAGTTTAAATTACTTAAAATTAAAAATTCAGTCATTCAGTTGCACTAGCCACATTTTAAGCACTCAATAGCCATGCGTGGCTAGTGGCTACTGTATTGGAAAGCACAGATACAGAAAAACATTCCCGTCAGTGCAGAAAGTTCTGTTGGAGTTCTTCTCTGAGATAATGTCATCCTTCAGTTTGAAGGTAGGAAAAAAATAGTCTCCCCCAGCAATCTGCCATGATTACCTTTTCACTAATTATGTTAATTATACCCTTCCTTGTATTTCTGTCTTTGCCTTGGCTGTAGGGACATTCACTGCCCAGATACAGTCACTTATTCGATGTAAGTGCCCTTAATCCCTTATTATGTCTCCCCTGCATTTTTACCTTCATGATAATAGTTGTGGTTTAATTACACTTGTCTTTCATTCTACGCCGTCACAAAATCTATACAGAGATACATCTGTCTAAAAGAATAATTGAAGGAAAAAATGTGCT